ACTACTCCTGTATTAAACATTTACACGTGGACTTTTTTATCATATAGTTGCAAGTTACAGAAAGTTCTCGTCACTTGGTAGATGCCCGTAGCCAGGATTTTGAATGGGGGGGTTCAGGCTTCCCACTGGTTGAGGGGACCTCGAGCGCCGTAGGCCCGAGGCGAGCGCCGAAGGCGCGAGGTTCCTAGGGGGGTCCGGGGGCATGCATTTTTGAGAGGATTTCCAAGAAAAAATCAGAGATAAATTTTTATTCAATGACAAAGGGAGTAGTTTTTCTACGATTCCAGTCCATCTTTTCAAGAAAAATCTTGGACCTTTACATAAAAAGGGGACCAAAAAGTGGACCTTTACATTAGAAGTGGACCAAAAAGTGGACCTTTACATAAAAAGTGGACCAAAAAGTGGACCTTTGAGCCTTGTGGGGGAGCCTTCTTCCGAACCCCCGAACCCCCCCTGGCTACGGGCATGTGGTAGTTGTGAAATAGTCATACTCGTATACATCATACACGGCTCGAAATGTCACCTGCACATGCAGGTAAAATTGGAGCGGTGTAGGTATTTCTGATGTCCACGTGCACCCAGCTTGCACCAGTCATGGTTGTATATACATGTAGGTGTACGAGAGTATGTGGCTTTTTGTTTGACTGCTACTACATATGAATTATAAAAGAAATAACAGTGGTTTCTGAACAATTTTACTTTGATCCATACTTCCTAAATTCTGAGTGGTGCAGGCTGGGTAAAATATGTCTGGTGCAGGTAGTTTAAAATGTTGCCTGAACCACTTCAGGTATGCAAAAAAAGAATGTCAAGCCCTGTCCGAAAGGTTTGGTACCGCCTGGCGGCTGTACCAGGCTAGCAGCAGATGCAAAAGAGAAAATTCAAAATGGTTCAGAGTCTGCTGAACTGCTTGGGAGGACGGTGTCCAAACTAGGTTTTACGCAAATTCAAAGTCTTTCCAAGGCATTCATTATGTAAAGTTGACGATTAGTAGATCAGACCCTGCATTGCGAATTGGAGATTGTGGAAGCCTGGAATGGCGGTGAGTGTTGGGTGATTTCATGTGTGCTGATCCGTGTCACATAACTGCACCGCAACATGGCGACATAAGTCATCCCATTCCTACATGGGCCAATTTCTACTCTTTCGGACTTCCTAAGTCTGGTAGAGGCTAGCAGATTCACACGCCTGGTTACGCCTAACAGACAAGACAGAGTCTTCTAGAAGTTATGTAAGATCAAGGACATTGTAAGATTCCTCCGTTCCATTCCGGGGATTCCTGAATCCGCTGAGGCTGTAACAGATCCTCACAGCCACGCCGGGATTAGGATCGACTTTGATCCATGGTCAGGTCGTCTCAGTGAAGAGGCGAAGTTTGACGGCTGCGGCCCAACTTTTCATGTGGAACGGAACATGTGGCGGCCATGTGGCATGGGTTATCTCAGGACCAGGGGAAAGAAAGCAACTGGAGGCTTCCCGCTATCATTGTGGGTTTTGTTAAATGACGTCCCTGTGGTAACTTCACGGGCTCGGTTACCTTCAAATATGTAATGCAATATCACCTTATGGATCACCTTATGGATAGGTGGACTTCATGTACCGCAAACAGAGGTCTGAGCAACTGAACGAATGATCGTAAGAGAGGGAGGGAGAGAGAGATAAAGGGAGGATTGAGACGAATAGAAATGAAATCCACACTTTGAGAATGTAGCTCAGTACATACTGTATTCACTGAGAAAGAAAGAAGATAGGAACGAGAGGACAAACGAACACGCGGCATTGACCAATACTAAGGGCTTTATCTGAACATGCGTGAGTGAGTGAATGAATGAATGAACGAACGAATGAATGAGAAGCAAGAGCTTATAATATTACATCCCCTAATGAATTGGCAGGTAACAGACCAAACATCTATTAGAGGAAGTAAGGCACTTCGTTGAAAGAGTGAGTGAAGCCAAGACAAAGGTAACCCGCACGTAATTGAAACCTTGACCTGTATGTGGCACAGCATGCACTCTGTGGCCAGGGGTGGCCCCAAGGCCACGGCACACATCTCACAAACCTAGAGGCCTCCTGCCCTCGTGGCGTACGTGAGATTTTCTCGGTAGTCCGTGCGCAAACACCCGTGATTTTCCCACCCGTTTATCTAACGTAAATTTGGGCAGGGAGGTATGTCTCACCCAACTGACGCTAACCCGCGGGGCAGTGGGGACGACATTGCAGTAGCCGTCTACAAGATTACTGCTGCGTCTTAAAATGGTGCTACAAGATACACTTTCCTGCCCATGGCTAACATTCGTTTGTTAAGTTGACATAACCAGAATGTAGTCGTTACAATTTTACCAGCACGTAGAACAGCCTGACCTGACTACCAGACGTTGTTCGGGGAAGTCACTGTTCTTCTCTGTTCTTAATCTTCACTATTCGACATTCAAGGAGAGCCACACTTAATTATCGAAAAGACTAGGGGTCCTTCCCGCTCTGTCTTGCGCAGCTTGTACTTCTTATACAAATCTATACAAAAGTTTCCTACGCAGTTTACCGGTTTAAAATATAGGAGAAATAAAAAAAAATCGAGCTTTGCTGATCCTTATCCTGTGAAGTGAATTGTCAACAAGAGTGTGTAAATATTTTTCATGGTGTCATTAGAAACCTACAGGGTTGGTCTGGTGTTATATTTAGATCCCCGTGAACATCTTTCGTAATCAGCGCCTAAGGACTAAAACTAGTAAAAGGAACCTTTTCTGGTTTTGATTTCCCTTTGGCACTAATAGGCTTCCGTCCGTCTTTTGAGGTGTTCTGCCAGCGGGGGACAGCTTTGATCATGAGCGAGCGTGTTTAGATAATAAATGGGTAATTGACGAAGCGCTCACGCGAAGCCTCATGCCCTCCCGGTGATTTATGGATCAGGAGGGGACACAGGCATCTGACGATTGTTTAATTGGAACAAGACGACGGGCTTGTCTGGCCAGGGCTCGCCGCTGCGCGCTCACTCCCGCTGTACCCTCCCGTGCTGTACACGCGCGCTAAGGACAATCTCATCCACGGGACCATGGCTCGTCTGTCTGTAGTGTTCGCGCTCCTACTCCTGGGATCCTTGTGCGCGGGGTCACCCTTCCAAGTGGGGAAACTTCGCGGCCTTCTCAGAGCCCGACGGGACAGCTCTTCGGAGGGAGAAGCAAGCAAGGAAGTTCGGCAGGGTGTGAACTCAATTCCTTCACGGACAGCAGGGCAGTCTGTCCCGTCACGTTACCCATACCCAACGTATCCACAGCCGTCCCCGCAGACGGCATCCCGGCCAGCTCCCCAACCGTCCCCGCAAACGGCGTCGCGACCAGCTCCTCAACCGTCCCCGCAAACGGCAGCTCGACCAGCTCCACAACCGGTGCCGTACCCCTATCCATACCCACAACCGTCCCCACAAACGGCAGCTCGTCCAGTTCCACAACCATCCCCGGCACAAACGGCGTCGCGACCAGCCCCACAACCGTCCCAGCCAAGGGTATCGCCACCAGTTCGATCGCCGGTGCGAGTACCATACGTTAGCTACCCGTATCCACAACCGTCCCCGCAAACGGCACCTCGCCCAGTTCCACAACCATCCCCGGCACAAACGGCACCTCGCCCAGTTCCACAACCTGTGCCGTACCCCTACCCGTATCCACGACCGGTCCCAGCGCCAGCACCTATCCCAAGACCAGCCCCAGTGCCAGCACCTGTCCCAAGACCAGCCCCAGTGCCAGCACCTATTCCAAGACCAGCCCCACAACCAGCTCCAGCGCCACAGCCGGTACCGTACCCCTACCCCTACCCGTATCCACAACCCGCCCCAGCCCCGCGACCGGCCCCAGCGCCGCAACCGGTGCCGTACCCCTACCCGTATCCACGACCGGCCCCAGTGCCGGCACCTGTCCCAAGGCCAGCCCCAGTGCCGGCACCTGTCCCAAGACCAGCCCCAGTACCGAGACCAGCCCCAGCGCCGCAACCTGCACCGTACCCCTACCCGTATCCGTACCCACAACCAGCACCGGCGCCTAGGCCAGCTCCAGCGCCGCAACCGGTGCCGTACCCCTACCCGTACCCGTACCCAAGGCCAGCACCTGTCCCAAGACCAGCACCAGTCCCGGCACCTGTCCCAAGACCAGCACCTGTCCCAAGACCAGCGCCGGTACCAGTTCCAGCACCTGTCCCCGCACCTGCACCTGTCCCCGCACCTGCACCAGTCCAGCCACCTCTCTACTACCCAGGTAACCCCTGCCATGAGTTCCTATGCGGGAATGGTGTCTGCATGCACAAGAGAGTTAGATGCAACGGGGTTTCAGAGTGTGGGGACGGCTCAGATGAGAAGGGATGTCAAGGTAAGAAGTGTTGAGTTTTGTTCTCAACAATGATATCTTGCAAAAAAGTCAAGAAGATATATTGGGAAGGAAGATCGTTTACGTTTTACAATAAAGACATTCTTGCGTAATTATAAAGGTTCTGTTTCTTCATTCAAATGGAACCTTTACGCATTAAGGTATGCTTAAAGATTGGATTTTGGGCAGTGGACGATCTTCCTATAAACGTTGGTAAAACGCCTAAAATGCATGCACATCGCCATTTTGCTGTAAACTACAGCCTTTGGCCATGTCCAAGATTATATAACATACTGTCAAAGCCATTAATGCATTTGCCACGCTAGCTGAGGCCTGCAGTAAGGTTTGTAAATCTAAGCACGTCAAATCTATGTAGGTATGTCAGTAAATGAAAATGGCTTTGCTGTGCTGCTCTGGAAACTTTTCGCAATGTAGTAATGATTTCTTGATCGATACGTCATGTTAGCGGTTGAATCACTAAGGAGGATGAAAAGTTTCAGACAGTCAAGCAGGGTTAGACCGCAATTCGCCGACAAACGAGCCTCTATCGCTAAACCTCACGTAAGCATTGTAATAAGTAACATGTGCAACCCGCTCAGCCATGTCCAGTGCCAAAAGTCAGCACATTGGATACAGAGTTCAGTGGGCAGTCTTATCTTACAGAAGACATAGAATGTAACCGAATTCGGCATGCTACGAACCTCCACAAAAGGAACCGCATAGTAAAACCCTAATGGTATTTTTGTCGGACAAGACCTATGGGATATTTCTAATCCTGTGGGATTCTACATACGTTGTCGGTCTCGCACATTTAAGCCATACTGATTTGATTACATTTAGTACAAGGATCTCATCCTTTGGGCACTGTGAGTTTGCGAAAAAAAAGTTGCCTTCATTTATGAAATCTGAGTGGTCAGAAAGGTTGAATAAATGTCTGAACCCACAAAGTATGATATACGAAACATTAAACTATTTAATTTTTCCTCTTCTTTGACTTTGACGAAAGAAGACTTGGTGGTAATTCGAGCCCTGCTTCCCTAGCTTCCTCTGGGTCTGGGATCTACTTCTAGTTTGCGAATGAGGCTAATGGCTGCAAACTTTTTTGGGGAAAATAGGTGCGCGCGTGGATGTCATCCATGGAATGAAGTCAGTACGGCCTTACATAAAATGTACTCCTACAGTCAGATGGTCCGACAGACCCCTCGAGCATGTGGATACGCTGATGACGTCCATCCACAAGTTCACATGACCTGCTGGGCTCCGTGTCAAATCTCACGTGCTTCTCGTTAGAAAGGCCAAGAGATTTAATGAGGACGAGAATTGGGCGCGTCATCTCAAGGTGAAGAATTTTAACCTCGCTAGCATGCCCGGGAGTTAAAACGTTTCGATACAGCTGCAGAACACAGTTGTCCCCCTATGGGGATTTCTATAGAACTCAAGGTGAAGGTTGACATCGACGCGGTGTTATAGTAAGGTGCAATAGGAAAATACGAAAAACGAAAATGTTCTTGTTTAGGGTATAATTAAGATAACTGAAAGCAAAATTAAGTTATGCTTTTCACGATTTAGGCCATACATTCTTCTTTCTTAACAGAAACGTGAGCCTTATGAAATATTCTGAGAAAAATCTACCCAGGCAAAAAACTAAATTATGTAAAAAAAATGTGGCCATTGTGCGCAGGTTCAGTGAAGGCCCCAACAAGGCGTCAACAATGACGCCTTGACTTGACTTTTCGCTGATCTAAGCACAATGTAAAAAGGACACGACCTCAGCTAGGTGAGGAATTTTCCCGGCGTTTGGACTAGAATTTATCATGTATGTGGCAAAGTTTCTTGTGACGGAACTAGGGCGTGAAACATGATACTCTATCTATAGGCTTTTGGATTCACAAACGTAGCAGCAACGTTTTAGGGATTTAGGGATATAGTAGGCCTGTTCGTTTTTCTTGATGAGGCAATAAATTTGTAGTATCATTTTTTTTGCAATCTGAAAGAGGTAAGCACTTTTTTTGCAAAGATTTCAGACAGAAATAAAACGTTTTGCATATCAGGAATTTGCACATGTACAACGCATCACTTCTAATAAGGTAAATATGATAAAAGGGATGTAGAGAGAGGCTGGAACTTATCTTAATCCGCATGAGCTGACTGGAAAGCTAATCTTTAATTCCCAGGATGAGATAAGACTTGATTATTTAGCACATTTATTTAGTTATAATTAGTATCTGCTTGGTATCTTTAAAAGATGACAAAAGACAAAGGAAGACAAAATGTCGCGCAAGTGATTTTTCGTACGTTTTATTAATATCCTTGTATATATAACAAGTTAATATACTAATGAAAAAGAGTTAGAAGGGTATTTTTCACTAGTAAGACAACAAATACTACTACATTTGTACTTGCGATCATGCCAATTGTTAGTTAACACGCACGTGTTTTGACTGAGAAACGTTTTTGAATTAAACAAATGAGATGAATAGCTACAGCCATGAGACATGTATACAGGTACAATGTGCCAGGAAAATAGCTTCGCCCCAAAAGTAATGGTCCAGTTGCTTTTCATGCCCTCCATCCTCGCCCAACGTGGAAAATGTTAGCAGCCAGCATTCTACTATCGTCTACTATCCCAGTGTCCGTGAGGCCATATTCGGCGGCTATGTGTGACAGGGGCTTAACGGGTGCATATCAAAATAGTATGAAATCTGCTTGAGCAACAATGCAATGACATGCAGTTTAACCTTGTGAAGTAGCTTCTGACACATAATTCCTTACTCCGTATGATTTGCCCAGGTGGCAGCTCCTGCCCTCCCACCTGCACGGACCAGTCCAACAACCCCGTGTGCGGCTCGGACGGGAGGAAGTACAAGAACTCCTGCTACCTTCAGATCGCCGCCTGCGTCTCGGGACGAACAATCACAGCCGCAGGAGCGCCGCCTTGCAAAGGTAAGGCGCATTGCAGGTACTGGAACTTTAAGGGCGTCGAGAAAGGCGACGACTTCTTCACCCCTACGGTAAGAGGAAAGCCTGTAAACAAGTATTGCTTGCTACGACTAACTTTTGACCATTATTGTGTTGCAGCCGCTGCCGCTCCCAATCCCGGGCCTAGCCCAAAGCCTGATCCCAAGCCTGCTCCAAAGCCTGCACCAAAGCCCACGCCAAAGCCTGCACCAAAGCCCACGCCAAAGCCTGCACCAAAGCCGGCATCAAATCCAAATCCAAAACCTGATCCAAGGCCGGACCCCAAGACCAATTCTGGTACAAAGGCGAAAAGTCTTCTCTCCATAAAATTTTCTTACTTTCATCTTGGTTCTAAAAATGTTCTTCATACAAAACCACTTTGTACTTCACAACCTTTAACCATTCTACTTGTATCAAAACAAAATGGACTTCTTCCCTACAATTCATTTCTACCCATACTTCGAATTTCTTGTTTACTGTAGCTAGTAGATTACTCATCAATTAAATTCATCAGAGAACTAATAACGATGCTTATTTCACATTATCAGTACCTTAATCATTTTTATTCATGTGAGATCACCCTATAGCCTAAATGATTTCTTTCTTGCCCAAGCCCCTAATATTTTTACGTTCTGTGTTTCGGTGCTTATTGCTTGCTTGCTAGTCCCTAGACGAATAACAGTGAACAGAATGCGCCAAGAACGTAATGTATGTTGATAAGTCTTGATATGCATCTTAACATGGAAGTTAATTAATATGTGTTGAAACGATATTATGAAGATGGACAAAACTTTATGGATACAAACAGTGGAATGCAATTCATCCCAGTGTTGGTTCTGTAAAGTTTAGTACATTTTTCATTTTTTTAAATACTTGTACTGAGCATAGTTCTGGCATATAGTTTTTACGTTGGTCATCAATGTCTATATTTGAATACTTGACAGTTGAGAGAAGTAAGGTAAAAGAGTGTTTTAATAACGAACTGCCAGAGATGTTGCATAACGTTATGACAAAGCCATACCGCTCTTTAAGTGTAAAAATTGACAGGGGCATTTTCTGCCCCCTTCGTGAATTAGACTCAGGTTGGCTCAGCAGTACCAAACAGCTGGGCTAGTTGTTTGGCCTAGAAACGTCATAAAGATGTGAGTGGCACTGAGCAGGTAAGATCGACAATGGGGAGTGGACTACTACAGTACGACGACTACAACACAACGAACTAAGCATGGAAACCGCAACCTGTATTTTCTGCCAAAGTTGACTTGTCGTGATCAATTCAAATTTTATCTGAAGCAGGGAGCGATTTGTATCATAAAATATGATAAATCGATGGTTCAACAAATTTGACACAGAAACTTCTGGCACCAAACCACCCGACATCAGTATCGCGCGACGTCACGTGTTGTCTGGTTTCCATAGCAGTCATGCAAACACAGGTGCCAACAATGTAATGTGATACAATAAAGAATAGTGATATTTGATACATGTAGTAAAAAGAAACATACATGTATCTCTTTGTGTTAGGTGATGTGAATTTAATTCTCATGACAGATGTAGATAAGTAAGGAATGGCACAGCAACAAACACCGAAAATTCCGGAACTTCTTGCAAAATTGATGATATATGCATGTATTTCTATTTGATTATTATTATGTTCAGCTCACATTCAGCCAAACTCATTGTGATGTCTGTTTTTTTGCGTGCCATCCTACAAAAGGGCGAAGCCAATCGTGACAGGCTAAATAAAGTTTGGAGTGACAGATGTTGGTTAGCTTGAGGAATGAATCCCTATATCTAATACTCATTGCCGTTTCATGAATGTCTAATCAGGAGCACAGGTCGGATGCACGAATGAAGAGTTCATGTGCACCAGCGGGACGCAGTGCGTCTATCACAAGTACAGATGTGACGGGGAGACCGACTGCAAGGACGGCACGGATGAAGTCAGCTGCCCGACGCGTAAGTACATGTACCGTACGGGTCTTGACTAGCCTCCACCAGCCCTTTCAACTGGGGAACGTATAGTAAAATTCGGAAATGATGAAAAAATTGCCAGGGGAGATACATGTAGTACGAGGGAAGGTTAGCTTCCCCCTCAACGGTGCCCCAAATCCCCCATTTTGCTAGATTTTACTGTTTTTCAACCTGCGTTGTGTCTGGTAAAGACTGAGTCTTGACTCTGGGAATTACTGTTTTGAGCTGTTATCATGATAGACAAAAAATCGAAGATATAATTTTTGTGAATTCCTCACTGACACTGATTCTGTCTATCTTTCCACAAGACAACAGATATGTACATGTATAGCAGGAAATCAAAGACAGGAAATGAGAACTTTTGTTGGGACCTATAACTTTCTGATGATGGTAATGTCCTTTAGGGCAGAATGTTGCAATTTTTTCCTTAATATTATGTGTTTGCAAAACAATACCTTGGGACGAACCAACAGAAAATGATACATGTATGTGTTTTCTCCACAGCGAACCCCTGCATGTACAACCAGTTCCGGTGTAAGACTGACGGGAAGTGCATCCCGATCGTGTACCAGTGCGACAAGACCAAGGACTGCACAGACGGGTCGGACGAGGACGCTCCCTGTCGTAAGCCTCGCCATCTTTGACATAGTTTATGCTTTATAAGGATCTGAGGAGCTAGCATGTATATTAGCAACAGTCTGATACCCAGGCAACAGTCTGATACCGAGGCTACGTGAACATGACAGCTCGTTCAGAACCTGGCACCACGGCTCGTGAGAAACGTCCTTTTGAGAGCAAGAAAAGAAAGAAAATATTGACAATTTGCAATTGTATATAATCACGATGATTATACGTATTGTTTGTTTCTAGAACGTTATATATGAGCAATGTTCAGTGAATGATATCTATCACGTTTAGCTATTTCCAGGAACCGTTGTACTTCATTGTTAAAGAAGTCATGAGGTTCTTGAAGACGCAAACAATCCCATCATATAAAACAATTCTCAGCCATGTTAACGTGTATGCGTGATGTCTGTGCATATATAGATAGCATGCTCCTTATTTCTGGACGCCATTCTACATGCATCCATCTCACCAAGTAAAATGTTGCCTTCTATTTGATGCAGCCGGCGCCCCCAAACCGACTCCAAAGCCTGCTCCAAAACCGACGCCAAAGCCTGCTCCAAAACCCACACCGAAACCTGCTCCAAAGCCCACAGCGAAGCCAACGCCCAAGCCGACACCAACAACCTGCTACGAGAAATGCCACAAACACACAGCACAGTGTGACGCTTTAGATAGATGTGTGGTAAGTAAACAAACTTGTTCTGTTGGATCAAAACGATTTAGTGATTTTTAGGCAGGGGGATGGCAGAAGGCAAGTGAAGGGTCTGGACCACTACGCGCCTTGCACTACCCTCAGCATGGCAAGGAAGAAACCTGGAATCAAGGTCCGGTATTACCCGTCCCTGAACACGAGTCTCATCCTCTTTCTTTGTCGGGCGAGTGCGCGGCATTTCATATGCAGAAAATAGCGGATAGATAGAACATATTAATACACAGTGTCGCAAGACGAAAATAGGCGGTTCTTCTCTCGCCATCTGAACGCGCAATATCCTGTGACAACCGTCATCGTGGCGACGCGTCATGCAACGATATACCGTCACCAGGCTAAAGCGGTTTTAGGGCACCCAGTAATAAAAGACGATATTAACACAAACAGGGCACGCATCCTCTCCGGCCCGCGAAGGAGGGTGTTATAGACTTCCAGCCACCTCTGATTTATTAGTCGGGTCACGTGACTGGATTTCAAGTACATTCAGTGACCGTAGAAAGAGCAGATTGATTGAATCTTCATTATTTTGCCAAGTTGCCAGTGATCTTGTTAGCCCAAAAAAAAAGAAGAAAAAAAAACCTAGTACATACTAAAGATCACTCCATTGTCGTTTAGAACTGCCAGCACAACACGGAGGGGTACAAGTGTGAGCGGTGTAAGGCCGGGTACTGGGGAGACTCGACCACAGGCACGCCCCAGGACTGCCTACCCTACGCAGTGTATGGCGGGAAGGTACCGACGTCAGGCGCCAAGCCGCAGCCGCCCTTGCCATCCACAAAGTGTGACTGCAACAAGAACTCCGACAAGTGTGACCCACAAGGCAACTGTTTGGTAAAACACGTTCTGTTGTTCTTTTATAGGAGTGTTGTATCCAGAACTGTGACATTTTAGTTCCATGCCTAAATGCTTTAGGGATAGTATCAGGCACGGTTTTAGATAGTAGTGTCAGCGTGTCCAAGATCGTAGAGTTGCACAGTGTGGATACGACAAGAAAAATCAACTGATGGTCTTAGTTATATGAGCACCGGTTTTAACTCTATCACGACTTTGACAAAGGAGAAATATGAAGGTGTATGCGATGGTATGTGATGATTTTTGATATGTCCTGATACACTGACCATAGGGGCAGTATATGGGGCTCTGTATTGTGTACACTAAGATGACAGTCCATTGCCATTGGTGCCAGTATGTCCAATCAGATCAGTACGAACTGGACGGCAAAACCTCAGCACCTAAGAGTAACGTCTTTGCATGAAGACAATTATGACAATACATGAAATGAACGCAAAGACGCCAAAGACATCAATAAAAGTCTCTTTTTTTCACATCCTCCAGGACTGCAAGAACAATACGGAGGGAAAGAAGTGTGACCGCTGCAAGGCCGGGTTCAGAGGAGACGCCACCACGCAACAGTGCGTGCCCAAGAAGGCAAAGGACGCCTGGCACCCTTACCCATATCTCCAGTAGTTATTTATTGAGCAACCATCATAAAGAGCCGAACTACACAAGACCATATCATTCAGCACGCCTTAAAGCATGCTTAAAGGTACACGCGAATGAAGAAACAGACCCTTTACGTATACTTTAAGGTATGCTTAAGTACTTTGTGCAGTGCAAGTATGCAGGTACCTTTGAGTTATTAAATAGTGGCAGTAAAACACATAACATTGCCGTTTATCTGTAGCTTCAGAATGTCAGAACCAAAGATTGCAGCTAATGTTGTAAAAGAAATCGGTGTGACCCTGACTGAAGCAGTCAGGAGGTATAATTTAAATGTTAATACTACTTCTTTGAAAAGAAATTGTTTTTGGTATATAGTCACGGTTTTGTATTACAGCACAACGCACGTTGTCTCATGTATTCATTATTTATATGTTATTTAATCGTGATGTGAATAGATCTAGGAGAAACGCGTTGTTTTAGAAGTTTTTCTTAGTTTTAAGCTCTTCAAGACTTGCGAATGAAAGGACAATCAGCTTCCTTCGGATGCTTGCGTTACATAGGCATGTTGTAGAGGCAGAAAATTTAACACTTTTCATATAAATCTACCTCTTTGTGCCAATTCGGCCCTGTTGTTGATTCCAGTTCCCACCAAATACAGTCTTAAGCCCATGTTGATTTGATTATATGGATGACATCCTCCGGGAGCCCCAAAACTGATGCGCGCGTGCGAATAAAAAAAAAGTTTTGCAAAAAAAAAGTTCTTTTCATTATGAAATCTACGTGGTGATGAGGGTTGAGCAAATGGCACAGAATATGGTTTGCGAATAATCTAGTCTTCAAGTTCATTTCTTTACAATTTCATCTTTTTTCGTTTGATTTTGGCATTCTACGACATTGGTATAGTTTTTATTATTTTTTTGGTAACTTATGGTATATTTTTGCTCATTTTGCAACTGTTTTGTACGATTTACAGTATGGTTAAAAACTTTTTTTTTTTGGAAACGGCCGAAAATTCATGCGCGCGCGGATGTCATCCATATAATCAAATCAACATGGCCTAAGTTTCGTACAATGAATCACTGCCGTTGTCTTTTTACAATTTAGGTTTTCACCATTTACTACATCGTTCAAGTCACTGTTACAGAAATAAATATTTAAGTCAAGTTACTTGCGATCAAACCCGAAGAGTTGTTAGCTTTCCTTGAGTATGTGTTTGTTGAGCACTTACCCTACCCGCGCCGTGTATGCGACATTATCTGGGTAATTGGGAAAAGGTCAAGAGGTCAGTGCTTCAAGGCAGCCAAACGCTTCTATATCATCTGGCGAAAATGCACGTCGAAAAGGAAACATGGTTCAGGTTCAAAATCGTATAATTGTACCTTCATGTTCTATAAGACATACTTGTTTGTCACGTCTTTTCACAACATTCACTGTTTTTCATCAACGCTCTGTTGCTTTATCGTGGTTATTTAAACGTATGGATGCGGTCTATTGACAAACTGAACCCCGCGAAGTTTTGATGGCAGATCTGTATAATCTGAAGTCATGAACTATCGTTACCTGGCTGACAGGACCTTCAGGTCATCCGCACGGTGGATCTCTAGACCCCAGAGAGCTTCTTCGGCAGAGGTATGGCTTCCAGAATAGACAGTACTCAACGTTAGACTATCATACTCTCTGTTGTGTTGTGCAGATGCGTACGCAAGTCACAAATAGACCTATCCCATATCCCCCTTCATCCAACATAAAAATGCAAAATAACAACATATAGTTGCAAATATTTCACGGACATGTAGCCAGTCTCTCATTGGTCGAACAATTATTTGACATTCTCTCATTGGTTGAACGTAACTGCTAATTGTGATGGACAGTCAAGATCGGTCTATAATAAGTGCTCAGCTCCTGGAGAGCCAAGACGGCATGGTATCAAACATATAGTTATTACCATGCAGACGGTGTACTGTTGGTTCTCTCACGTAACTTTATTGTAGATGTCGTCGACACGGACACTTTCAGACGCTATATGGATGCAGAGTTATTATATAATTAGGGTGTTTGTTGCTTCAAGATCTCACAACTGGGTCCTTAGTCCTGAGAGTTATCACGCTTGGTGATGTGATTGGGAGATCGGATCTTTCGAATTCCCTACAGTTTGGTGCTGCAGTTTTCAAAAGAGCAATGTACTTTTATCTGACTTTTTACGCTAGACCGCAAACAAGTTACAAACGGGTCAGAGGGTACGACGGGGTTCTCGGGCCCCGGCGTTTTCCCAGCCGCCAGCAGAGGGTCTGATGTGGTTTCCCGGGAAACGTTTCCGATGTGGCGAAGACGGCTGCGACAAGGATTTCCGCACCATGCGCGGACTGGCCTATCACTGGAGGTCTCACAACAAGCCCCTGAGATACTACAGGTATGAGTTTGTTACAAGGCATGGGATTGGGTAGTGGTTATAATTTCCCAGATTTCTTGCTGGTTGATGACTTGAACACGACCGAAAATTCAGTTTGCAGGAACGCTGTCGCACCCGAAATAATGAACAGATGATAATGTATAAATTTACACAATCGGTTGGAACAAGAACTGCAGGTTATTTATTGCTTGTTAATTGTTGTATAATTTTAATTATCTTAAAAGATAATAAAACTGTATTTTGTTGTAAACATGTACAGTTTTGTGTTAAGATATACAGAGAAGTTTATTGAAATGATGACAAATTTGGCAGAGTATGTAAGAGAATTCATCTCCATCCAGTAAATAGTAGGAGAGGAATGTCATGCTCTAACCCGCCAGGTGCAAGAGGTGTGGCTTCCACAGCCCGGACAAGGTGCTGGCAGATGTTCACAGGGCAGTCTTCCACAAACATCCCCGCAAACACCGTAACGACATCGGCACCAGCTCGACCTGCGCACGGGTCTGGTCCAGTTCGCGGCATCCTGACAAAAGTGCTAGCAAGAAAAGTGCAGAGGACACCAGATGCAGTGATCCTGACTACAACGTCGGTAACATTGTTCATGTCACAGTGTGCGAAGATATGAACAACAACACCGAGAACAACACCTCTAAAGTGCCTTGTAGTGTGCATGAAACATAATAGGTAAAAATGAAGTGGTACACGGGGTACCATGACCACGAATGTCGGACTTGAAGAAGGTCGATTGACCTGGACCGGCCGACGGTCGTATTAACTTGATCATGTTGACAGGTAAACAATGATTGTACTGACTTTCCACGTTCTGAACCATGCTCTTGATCTTTTCAATTTTTAACGAACCACTATTACACGTATAACTTACACCAAGGACATTATAATCTGTATAATGTCCTTGGCTTACACGTATGTTTCTGCATTGCTGCCGTGAAAAGACTTTGAAACTGGCGCCAAAGGATCGCCATGACGTCACAGTGGATAGCGCGGTCAAATGCTGCCGCTAGAGGATGTGTTTCCTATAGAGAAATTTTGGGAATGTATTTGAGTTTCGAAGGTGTCACTTTCCACAGAACCTATTTTGTTCTTTCAAGTTCCGGACGTCCGGACGTTAATGTGTTGAAATATTTCGTGAAATCGAAGGCGATCCCTAGGTACCAGCGCCACGGTAGGCGAGCAACTGGCACCTGGCCTAGGCTAGGAGCAGGACCTCGCATTGAAGAAAATCATTGCCATGTGATTTGCCATCTGTTCATGATGACTGTTCTGTTCTGGTTTATTGTTACGTTCTCCTGTTGGAAAAGACATGTGAAGTTAGAGATATTTACGTACCGAAGCAGATACGAGAGTCTATATTACCAAATAACTTTTACCTTTAATACATTGGCTTAGATTTTGTTTATTACCTACATGAGAATGCAGGTTGTGTGTGTGTGTGTGTGTGTGTGTGTGTGTGTGTGTGTGTCTGTCTGTGTGTCTGTGTGTGTGTGTTGAGATATTGTCATGGAGGTATGAGATCTCCGAACACGTGTTCCTGTTTTCTGTACTGTGCCAGCGTGCTCTGCTGGTTATGACGTTGTTCTAATCTAATGTAATCTAATACCTTACGTACATCTAGATCTGTTACGTGATTGATAAAGATCCATAGACTGTAATCTTTCTACGAATCCGTAGGTGATGAGGATGGTAAGGATCCACATGCATGTACTTGATGTTGCTACATGTATAACAGAGGTCCGGACATGGATCTTTGTATGATCACAGTTCATGGCCGTACCTTGACCCTTCGCCACAGTTGTCAACCCGAGGTCGCTGCAGGGCTGAAATCGTGATTTAGCTGTTCTTCGTCACTTTTACATGTTCATACAAGAAATGAACTGTGATATGATAAATGAACCGCTTACCTCTCTCTCTCGCACTCTCTTTATCTATCCATCTATCTAAATATCAATCTATCCATCCGTCTCTCTTTTTATCAATCTTTCTATCCATCCATCTATATCTATATCTATATCTATATCTACGTATCTATCTCTATATATGTATATATATATATAGAGAGAGAGAGAGGGAGGGAGAGAGAGACAGAGAGAGAGACAGAGAGAGAGACAGAGAGAGACATATCTACATGTATACACGTATCAGATAGATACGGAGAGAGAAAGCGAGAGAGAGGGAGGGAGAGAAGGGTGTCTAATATGAAAATATTGCCATTAATGATTATGCTGAAGTACTTTAGGAACAGCCTATCCGACGTGATATCGTTGCCATGCAAGCTTTACCATGAGTCAGATTTACGTGCAACAACGACCGGATTTCGGAACGCCTCGTGCCGCCAGACTACTGACTAAGTGCGAAGATTTGTGTCGGACCAAAGTGCACATCCTGTCAGGCGAGGTTCACGGGGTATGTTGTCCTAAATCCGCCTTGAGATTCCCGCTTGGCGTTACATTACAGGTGACCCAGTTCAACCGGCTGCTATTCTACAGTAACAAAGGTACAGAACTTTTCAACTTTCTTTATTTACGAACGATTGTACTTGATGTTACATGTGCCTATGTTATATAGAGAAAGTGCAGTGGCTGCACATTATTTTTTCTAGCGTAGCTGTGTGACGGATCGACGATTGTTCGCCTGTTGACTCGGTCAATATTCCTCGGTCACAGAGACCAGATCGTTAAAAAAACACATGTCGTGTAGCGTGCTTTAAACATTTAATATTTCCTTAACAGGACTCCATGGGAAAGTTTCTCCCCTCATGTATCGCTCTGGAAAATTCGTATGTTCAGATTTTTCTGGAAAAGTAATTTTAGACTTTACAAACGTTATCGTCTCTCGGTACAGTTGGCCACTTGAAAAGTGTCCTTTGATCAGTGTAACTTGTTGACTGCGGTGCACAAATGGCAGTTTTGTGATTATAATGGTTGGGGATGGCGGTAAAAATTTCTGTCTTTGAACACAGCTAGACAAAATAAAATGCAGGTCCAGGGATAGATGTCTCCAAATCTGGGTAGAGCAAATATTTGAGATGCAAAGAGTAGCCCGCCAGCTTCCTGAGTCGTTCTGGGTTGTCTGGTGAGAATCAGGAGGTTGCACAAGGGGATCGTATTTAAAACTTCAGTACATGTCGTGACTTGCGATTAAGTCACATACATCGAAGGATGCACCTACTTGTACCGTATGGAGTCCGGTTTTATGCGACGATCGCACAGTACGTCGTAGGCTAGAGAGGAAACGGGTGCACTGCAATACTTTGATTTTTAAACTATTGCATCAGTTTATTCTCAAATTTACGACGTACAGTAAGGAAAGCCTCCGTACGTACATCGTATGGTGTATGTGACCTGGGCTTAAAATAGCCTGGAACTTCGGGCATGGACATGTAGGATGATCCTTCCCTTCTATTATCAAGGCTCGTTTATATGGTCTTAGATAACTGTCTCAATATATTATTGTTTAAAAACTCTAACAATTAGTATCAATGATTCGCAGGCTAAAGTGGAATTTTATAACAATATATGGTCAATGAAGAGTCTAGTTTTATTGTGAGCCATACATAAGTAGTCGAAGTCAGTACACTAAAAATAGCCTGGGTCCCAGACTGTTGCCAGGGTCAGTATACAGTAGCTTCTTGGCTCTAGGGCCAACATGTTCCCAAGTAAATTTTACCAAATACCGTTCATATAGACTCTCAAAGTCTATCTGTGGACCTGCCTGTGCATTGGCCCTGGGAATAGTCTCTTATCAAGGCTAATATATAAACTAATAGTGAGTATACAGAATTCGCAATTGAATGCTGACAACGTCGCATTGTTTTCAACAGAGTCCGACGACATGGGCGTCCGTTTGGCTGTGTTCCTCGGCCTCCTGTTCACCACATGTGCGGAGGACGAGTCGTCAGGCTCCTGGGTGTGGAAGCGGCTCTGGCAGCCCCACGTTGACGGCATCTGCAGCGCCCTTTGCCCGCAGGACGAGGTGACCCCCTGCCCCACCACCCCTCCCGAGCCCACCCCGCCCATCCCGCCGGAACCTACCGACTTCTGCCAAAAGAACCCGAAGACGCTGGCGTGTCAGCTAGTCGCCACGGATCCTGAACTCGCCATCCGATTCTACAAGGAGAATCAATGGGCCTTCCTCCGGGAGGGCGCCCGGCACAAGGAGGACACCCCAACCGACCAGGACGTCGTGATCTCCGAAGAACAAGAGCAAGAACAAGTACAAGTGCGGGACGATGAAGATAGAGCCGGTGCGAGGAAAAAGATCCGGGAGTGGAAACAGGCGTGGGGAAGCGACCAGGACAGCGAGGGGAGCGACGGGAACGACGGAGTTATTATTCCTCAACCGGAAATGACGTACGGTCACCGACGATATTCCAGCTGGTCCTCGTCCCGATCGATTGTGACAGCTCGTCCGGACGCCATCGTCGGCGAAGGTGGGTATTCTTAGACTTTGAATGCAATTTGAGGTCGGCAAAAAAAGAAGTTAAAATATCCGATTTTTTGTCATTTTTCGGTACCTCGCAAAATGGAGGTATTGTTTTTGGTCTGTCCCTATTTGTGTATTTCTGTCAGCACAACTTCAGAAGGCCTTCATGGACTACTATGCGATAACATTTTGGTGTGTGGGTAAGTCATGGAAAGATAAAGGTCAATGTCAACTTTGGGCCTCCCCTTGCAGCAAAACTTTTTACCGATTTTTGTATCTGGTCTTGATACTGGTCTTTTGGTGGCTGATAGCTTTCTATATAAGAATTAAGTGGTGTGCGTTTGATCGAAAAACATCAGACATGTACAAAAGCTCTAAATATTTCATAGAGGTATGATATCTCGGAATTCTCGTTGTTCCGGAAGGTGCGGTGATCCGAGGGCAGTTCCGGCCCGTGACGGTGAAGATGAACATGAACGTGCGGCGGCGCGGCCAGGTGATGCGGTCGACGTTCCGGACCCACCGGCGGGAGCAGGGGGAGACCGTGATGCAGCCGGGTGGCGGCGAGCAGCAGGTCCAGCGGAGCGGGGAGACGGTGTGGCGGCGGCGGGAGGTACGGCGGAGGCAGGCCCGGCAGGCCCCGGTCACGGCGGGAGCCTGCAGAAGTCAGGGGAAGATCACCACGCCCCGCAGGGTCAGGGTCGATGGGAAGTGGCAGGACTTTGAACTGTACAGTTTCCAGGTGAGATGGAATGCATGGGATCTACTAGCTAGTCAATTACTTGTACATTAACGACGGACTGGGAAAGGCTAGTGGGGAAAAAGCTACTCTCCAAGCAGAGGTTTAGGCTTTGACTTATCTTTTGTACATGTGTGTAGGCGTCTCTATCTGGTTTTCTTTTTGTACTGGGATTTTTTTTATACCAGGTGGTCTTGCCAATTGATTTGTCTTGCTAAATTGTTATTGTCTTGCATTTCACCAAAATATCTGCTTGGAGATAAGGAAAAAGGCCAGTGTCAGGAAAGAGTGGGGAGGGACAGTCCTGGAATTCTAAGACTTGTAGGCAGTTTAAGACATTTTGTGAAAAGGAATCTATAAAAAAACTTGGGCTGGTGCCGTATTTTTTCAGTTTCTGGTTCCGGACCCCGCGTATCCAAGAACGTAGACTTGTCCCATGCACGGTTTAGCAGGCGTGGACTATCTAGAACCGTGCATGAGCGTGGTTCTGGATAAAGCATGATTCTGGATACGCGTGGGCTATTCCACATAAAGCACGGTTCTGGATACAACAGCATGATGTCTCTCTTGTGTTTCAGGTCGGTCGGAGCGTGTTCCAGCGGTTCTACGCCGTGTCGTGTGTGGACAGGAAGCCCGTGACCCACTGTGACTGCGGAGGCGTCTGTCAGGACAAATTCTCACAGTTCGTCGCCTTGCAGATCTACAAGGATGACAACAATGACATCAAAGTAAGCATAATATTTTTGTCCTTTTATTAGACTTTCAAACATGTAATCGTTTCCACCTCTTAATGTATATTTACAGGAGGTCAGTGACCTCAGACGGCGTATTGTAATCAGGTGTGTCCTTACGTTCGCAGCTATAACTCACGATCCCTTTGAATTGGTATGTAGTTTGACATGTCGTCTGCTAGTATGCGCGAGATAAGCATTTTTTTTACACCGTAGCAGTTTTTATAGGTCATTTGATATTTCGGAAAACACCCCTATCTTGTTGTACTTGTGGAACAGGTCATTAATCTCGTTGGTTTCTGTGGATGTGCGCTAATAGTGTTTTCCACAGGCACTTTTGGTTTTCATATCTCGTATTCTGGACATGCTACGGCCATGATTTTTTATTCAAAGATACATACATTTGTAACTTATGATCTTGTTTTGCAATAATTTGTTTCCGTCTTTTATATCATTCACTGTTTCCTCCATGTTCCCCTAGGTGCGCCCTCGGCTGGTGGAGGTACCGACTTGCTGCGAGTTGGTCATCCCCTCCTAGCTCAGCCCGCGTCACTGCTTCATTCCAGGAAAATAATTTTGATATGATATGATAAGCAATATGAATCTAGAGAGGAGTTTAGACATACAGTAGAGGTAATGGAAATCATCGATGTAAAAATATACCATATACATATAATAGCATGCATACCATACCATACATGTAGAATCAAAGAATCTTTCAATATCTAAACTGGACTGGAGAAATTGCATTGGAATCCGATTTGTCAAGTCTGCTTTACACAGAGACAAAATTAGAAAAGTGGCATATAACCTTTGTGTTACACAAAAGTGTTTAATGGTATCCGTATCTCCGATTATAAAATAAATCCATCTTGAAAAAAAAACTGTCTCCAGCCCCCTCACTAACTGGGGACAGGCCTGTGTATTGGCCCTGGGAACAGTCTGGCATCCAGACTACAACGTTTTGGAATGCTACAATGAAGTGAAGGCTACAATTAGTTTAACAGTCAAGTAACCACCTTTACATAAGGATAGCCACTTTCGGTGATCCCTGTAAGTTATATAAACTGTTTCCGATTGACACAACTTCATATTAGATCCCTGTCCACAGTGACCACATGTCCTCATAGACGATTCTATCGGTCTCTTGAGTGATGTTTTTGCGCAGTTTTGACGGTAGTTAATCAGACTTAAACTAGACACGTGAGCGGCAGGTCGGGCCTGTGTGTGCCGGATGTCTGTGCGTGCGCGCAGGTGTTATCAGTGGTGTCTTCTCCCGAACTCATGAAGAAGTCCAGGTCTTCAGCCACGTCCGCCGAAAAAAAATCAGTACCAGCGATTTTTATACAATGAATGTATGAATGAATGAAAGTGAATGAACATTATTTATTGACTGCAATTTGGTATTGCCATAAGTATTTCAGTAGTAGAATTACGGGACAGTATACTATTAGTCGATTCCATTATTTTGATACATCTCACGTCTCTAATCGCATCTGGAAATGTTTTGAATCACGCATATATAGGCTACGCTTAGACTGCACGTCATTCTCGATAAGACAGCGTGCCATACTCTTGATGATACCATTGTCTCTGCATGTATGTTGCTCGTTGGAAAAATAAGCACCAAGATGCTGTCAGGTATTAAAAAAACCTCACTGGCGACCCAAAGCACCTTTGTTAGTGTCAGATTGAGGACAGTGGGAGGATTCTCTAACCAGCGATGTGTCAGACAGGAACACCGCTGCTCCGGTGCCAGAAAACCGCTGGAATTCAGGAAACGTTGAACTTTCTACACGCCCCGAGGGCTGATTTGAACTCAGTCACTTCTTCACGCATCAGATACTCGCCTGTCTATACCTTGGTGTAGCCTCAAAGCTAAAGGCTGTGGTCCTTCTGCAGGATGCGGTTTTCGAATTCGATCACGTATCTCCTGGTCTGTTACATGTAGATAAACCCCCGAGTAGCACCGATGGGAAACTGCCATGATGAAAGTTTTGAGCATGTTTTGATTGAGCATGCTCAAAAATGCTTTCAATGTGAATATGATGTTATAAGTGCAGTATGACGGCATTGTGAATATTCCTACACCATGCCAACAGCGTTCGAAACAATGTTATCGCATTCAAGAGAGAACCGAAACCTGACTATTTGACACACACCCGAAATTGAATAGCCAGGAGTATACAAGAAATTTTCATTCTAGACGGCATTCTGGCTCAGTCAGCCTATAGTGTAAAAGGGATATAACTAGGGTTTCCTGAATGTGGCGCGATTTTGCCTGTTTCTGCCGATTGCGAATACGCCTTAAGGGGCCTTTATATAAAGCAAGCAAGAAGTCAGCACAAAGCATTCCAAGCACCAGTGTTAGATAACACCGAATACCTGACACTGCAAAAAAAAAATCTACTCCACATTCTTGGCGAGGATCAAATGTTTTCGCATGCCAACCTCACGAGATGGGTCGAGTGAAAAATGGCCAGAAGGCAAAAATGTGTTCCTCGAGATCAACATCACGATATTTTCCTTAGCGTGTTGCTAGGAAACCAGATAAACAAATGATAGCGGGCAAGCTAATTGGTCATAAGGGGTGGTAGGATGAATTTGAGAAATAACAGCCCGTGCCTCGCGGCGTTGTGCCAAGCAGTGGAAACCTTCTTTTATCACACAAGAAAACAGCTTTCTGTGGTGCTGATTTCGCTGCGAACAGGTAAGGTGTCGGTTTAATGGCGTTCTCTATAAGGGATGATATCAGGGATGATATGTTTGTGAACCTTGCACTCTAGACTAGAACTTGAAAAGGAATGCATACCAGTCCACATGCGTTGCTTTAACAATAGCTGTAGTTTACCATGCTGTCTGCTTTTGTGGAGTCGTATGTCTGAATTTTAATTTCAGAATATATCGTAATATCAAAATCTTATATTGTGCGTTGTTTCAGTTCCCTGTATTCCTGTGCATATTATTAGATGTACAGTATGCCTTTGCTGTTATATCTGTTTTATGATCTTTGTGACAGTTGTAGAAAATATTGTCTTTATCCTAGTGTAAGTATCCTGATTGATTAGACGTTGTTGACTGTTTAATTTGTCGTTGACCTTCAGAACTCCACCAATGAAGGTCAATCTCGTCCTCATCCTGACCATGACAGGGTGGGTCAGAGGTCAGATCACCCTACTAGGGGAGAGGCGGCGGGGAACGGTGGACAAAATCTGCCGGACGTTCTGCCCCGACTGTTCCCCGTCTATTCTCGGGGGAGCGACGTCGTCGTCGTTGGAAGCGACCGACTACTGCCGACGGAACCCGACCGCGCTCTCGTGCGAACTCGCCAGGCGTGACCCCGAGAGGGCGATTCGCGTCTTTCAGGACAACCAGTGGGCTTTTATCCGGGGTGGACCCTCGGACGAGGAAGAACCTGCCGAAAATGATAACTTTGCTGAACGGGAAGGAACGACGGTTGGTGGAGGGGGACAGGGGGGTTTCGTACCTGGAAGTTCGCGCTCCGGTGTAGCTGTAGGTGAAGTCGTAACTTTGAACCAACAGGAAGGCGGAGAATTAACTTCAACCGTCCTCACGGGCACCGACGCGCAAGGAGGAAGACCTACGGGGGGTAGAGATGGAGGAACTTTGGAAGAAGTGACCCGCGGCAACCCGGGCGGGGGATCGTCCAGTGTTGTTGTGACAGGAGGAGGGTCGCAGGGGGTGGTTCTTTCTGAAGGGGGGTTGGAAGGAAGGGTTGTTATTGGAGGGGGGTCCGAAGGAAGGGTTCTTACAGGAGGGGGGTCGGGAGGCAGAGTAGTGACTGGAGGGGGGTCCGAAGGGAGAGTAATTACTGGAGGGGGGTCCGGAGGAAGGGTTCTTACAGG